TGTAGGGAATTAACTTCATATGTTTGTTTTGAGGTTTCCTTCCGAGTTATCTGGAGGTAACATGTCACTTTTTCCCCTGCAAATTGCTAACCTGTCAAAATAAAAATCTAATGCCTTAAGATTTTTAAAATTCTTAACTCCATCAATTGGCCTAAGTGGGGGGGCAGTGACTAAAAATTGACACCATTCTTCTGGAGAGCAGTTTGGCCAGAGTAGGAGAGGAGTCAAGTGGGGGCTTTTGTGGAAATCCAGGAAGAAGATGGTCCAGCAGTGGGGATGTGGGGGGAGGTAGACAGATTCAAGTAAATGTTCAATCACAGTTCCTCCGCTATCGTTCCTGGACTTGGATCCGCTAAACTTATCCTCTCCAGCAGGAGCCCTGCCGAGTCCAGGGGGGCATCCTCAGCGCCACCCAGATTCCTCCACTTATGAACAGGAAGAAGCCAGGAGAACTGCACGCATGCCTGTTCGCAGCCCAACCTTTCATTGCCAAGGGCGGTTTTCAGAAAGCCCTCAGAACGGAAACAGAACCCCGAACTGTTCCACGTCGGGCGCAGCGCTTCCCTTCCAGTCTTCCTAGAGGAGTCTTCCCATCTGACAGGTCCCCATGCTCGCAGAAGCTTGAGAGTCATCACACAGCACACAGGCTTAAGTAGCCGTGTCTTGGCTTTCCACCTTGACCATTGGCCAACCCCAAAGGCAGGTTTCAAGAGGCCCATTGACCAGGGGTTTCAGTTTGCTCAGCTCTTGAACTCGTATATTAAAGTTGACTTGTTGGCAGCCTTGGGGCCTAGTGATGGCCACTCTTTTAATCTGCACTGTGTTGGGGGTAGTTCTATTTTTGCCATACTCCGTTTGTTCTAACCTCTTGAAACAGTGAGAAGGCACTGATTTGATTTCTCATACAACCTGTCAAGCCAGAGTGGTTTTGGTTAGACTGAGCCACGGATTACCCTGTGTAGGACTAAGTGTGGCCAGAGGAGGACTGGACTCTGAACGCTGCCTACATTTCATCTCAGACCTCTGTTTCCTTGACCGAGGGGTCCAGGGCTCCTGACCTGCAGCCATCACAGTGAACCTGCGGAGCGCTGTGAAAACAAACGAACAAATAAACATATTCTCGGGCCCACTCCAGACCTACTAATTCAGACATTCCAGGGGAGGGACCAAGGAATCTGTGTATTAAAAAACAAAATAAATTCCCCCAGGGGCTTCTGATGCCACCCAGGTTTGAGCACCACCAAGTGAGACCATCCGTAAGAAGTTTCTCCAGATTACCGTGGGCAATTGAATGTCTCCGAACCATTGTCTCATCATCTGGGAAGGAAGGTTGCTAATGGGACCAGCCACACAGGCTTGTTCTGGGGAGTGAGTGGGAGAGTGCGTGTGGAAGGACCAGTGCGTGCCTGGCGTGGAACAGGTGTTCAACAGCGGGGGGCTGTTTTCCTCCACGCATGCCTGTAACGTGCTAGGTCCTGTGCCAGGACAACGTAAACAAAAGAAGTAAAAGCTTCAGTTAGTTTTAAGAGCTGTGAAGATTTTTAATTTTTGAAGGGACAAAGAGAAGCAAGACAAAAGGTATGGGAATATTTTCGAGTAACTGGGAGATGCCTCTCTGACAAGGTGATGTTGGAGCCAAAGGAAGTGAAGGAGGAGCCATGGGAGGGTTTGTGGGAAAAGCAGTCCGGGTGAAGAGCACAGCAGGTGCAAAGGTCCTGAGGCAGGACTGACCTTGGCATGTTGGGTGACGCAGGAGAACTGTGGCAGGGGTCAAAGTTAGAGAAGTGAACGAGGGGCTCAGGTCATGGGGCTGTGGACGCAGCAAGTGCCTCAGGTTGACTTCTTATATCTCTTCGTATCGTCTTCTCAAATCACCACAGGTTGATAAAGAAGAAATTCAGGCTCAACATTTAGGATCCTTTCAACCCCAAGATTCTGTTTTTCTATAATCATGTTTTTTTTTTTTTTCCAAGCTTAATAACGGTAGTTACAGTGTCATTTCTTGGAGTCCAAAATTCTAAAATCGATGCTGATATTTTATCTCTTTCCCCCCCCAGCTTGATATATGGTCCAAATCCAGCTATCAAGTATTCCAGAAGGTAAGTTGCACTTTTTGTTTCTTCCTCAAGAGGCGCTAAGGGAAATATGAATACTTCGAGGTATAAACATTGGTCTTAAATCAGAGGCTTTTTAAAAAGTGAAGAGAGCCAGACACAAAAGGCTGCTCACTGTATGATTCCATTTATGTGATGTTCTGGAAAAGAAAACATTAGGGACAGAAATCATATCCGTGGTTGCCAGGGGTTAGGAGTGAGGGAAGGAGATTGTCCCCAAAGAGCTATAAGGGCACATGTTTGGGTGATGAAAATATTGTGTCTTAATTATGGTGATGACACAACTGTATGTTTCAAAACTCATGGAACGAACTGTATGCCCACAAAGGGCAAATTTTACTGTATATAAATTATACCTTTAAAAAAAAATCAGAGGCTTTTGAGTTGCTTCAGACTCAACCCACAGTTTTTAAATTCAGTTTCTCACAGCCCTGTAATCTACACGGGTGCCTTAAGGGTGAGGATGGGCTGAGGAATGTGGGCTGGCCCTACCCCACCCCCACTGTGTATTACAGTGGCATCTTTTTCAGCTGTCGGGCTTCCCCAAGAAATACTTTCTGGGAAATGTCAGAAAAAATGAAATGAGACCGGAGAAAGTCCATTTCCCAGCTCCCAGTGGTGGAAGGGTCCCTTCCCTGGCCCAGCTCAGTACTTCTGAAGGCCCTGAAGAGGCTTCTGAAGGCTTCTCCCATGGCTCTCAGGCCAGGTCCCCTGCAGGGCACCAGCCACTTTCTTCTGTGCTCTCCATCCTCTGTGTCCGCTTCCATCCAGCAGTGCAGATAGATAATAGAGTTTGTTGTAAATCCACTCATTGTCTCCTCACGTTCGACAGCAATTATTTATTGAGCCCCTTTTCCATGGGCAGGCACTATGCCAGGTGCTAGGAATACAGGGGAAACAAGACAAACAAGGAAGCAGAATCAATAAGAGAACTCCAGGTCATTACCGGGGGCTGTGGTCGAGGACAGGAGGGACCTCCTTCGCATCAGGGTGGTCTCAGGAGGCCTTTATGCAGCAAAGTTTAAACTGAGTCGGGAAGCAGGAGAAGGAGCCAGCCATGCGAAGGGCCACGGGAAGAGGGTCCCAGACAGTGGAAGCAGCAGCCCTGAAAGCTGCTGTGGAGGAGGGACTTGCACGGTCCAGCACCGCTGGGACCCGTGTGATGGGAGCAGGCAGAGGGCAGCGGGGAAGGCACGCGAGGCAGGGCCGGGCCAGCAGGTGCCTTTAGGTCCCGGTGCAGAATTTGGATTTTACTGTCAATTCAGTGAGAAGCCAGTGGAGGGATTAGTGTGGAGGAAGGATGTGATTTTGAAAGCTGAGCCTGAGTTATCCCCACTTGAGTAAAAACTGTGTCCACGGTGTGCCGGGTAGCTTAGCATAGGGTGGTAGGTTTTTTGCAGTTGAGGTGAAATTCATATAACATAACCATTTTAAAGTGAACAATTCCATAGCTCTTAGACTTTCACATTGTTGTGCAGCCACCACCTCTATCCAGTTCCAAAACATTGTCATCACCCAAAAGGAAACGCCATCCGCATTAAGCAGTGAGCATTGGGCTTTTGTATCTAAGGAGCATAATGGACCAGCCCTCTATTGGTGTCTAATGTGCCTCAATTCGCGCTGCTCCCTGGACCCCTTTACAGTGAAAGGGGGAAGCAAAGGACAGATGTCCAGGGCTGGGGAGCGGTCTGAGGCGTAACACCACACATTTAGGGAGCCTACGTAAGCATGAAAATGTCATGATCTTATCACAGCTAAATGCAGTGTGCCACCCTGGATTAGATTCTGAACCAGAAAGAACATATTAATGGAAAAACCGGTGAAATCCAAATAAAGTGTGGACTTGGGTCAATAGTAGGTAACCAACACTGGTTTCTTAGTTGTGATGAACGTACCCGATAATGAAAGATGCTAACAGTGGGGCAACCAGGTGAGGGGTATATGGGAACTATGTGTACCATGTTTGCAACTTTTCTGTAAATCTGAAACTAATCCAAAACTTAAAATTCATTTCAAAAAGAGAATCATAGTGTTGGCTCTTCTGACAGCCGCAGTCCTTCACCCAGCTGAGCTACCTCGATGCAGAAAGGAAAAAACAGCCTCCCTCCCTGGGCCATAGCCTAAGGGAAAGAAGTACATAGTCACAGGCTTCCCTGGTGGTGCAGTAGTTGGGAGTGTGCCTGCCAGTGCACGGGAGACGGGTTCGAGCCCTGGTCCAGGAAGATCCCACATGCCGCGGAGCAACTAAGCCCGTGTGGCGCAACTACTGAGGCTGCACTCTAGAGCTTGCATGCCACAACTACTGAGCCCACGAGCCACAACTACTGAAGGCTGCGCTCCGCAGCAAGAGAAGCCACCACAAGGAGAAGCCCTCGCACCGCAACGAAGAGTAGCCCCCGCTCGCTGCAACTAGAGAAAGTCCGCACGCAGCAATGAAGACCCAACGCGGCCCACCCCCCACCAAAAAAAAAGTGCGTAGTCACGTGTGGGCTTTAGTGTAGGCAACGACGTTTTAACCTTGGCCTTCTTATCTAGGTGACCATACCCAAGGCCTTTACCTGTTCAACTTGCATAAAGCCTCGGCCTTAGTTGCTAACTTTGTCCCTGCTGACAGCTCTTTATTTTCCCCCAGCAGCTGTGGCTGAAAAGCGTTCTGAGGAGAAAGAGCACTGCTCGTATCTGCATCTTGTTTCGCTTTCCCAGTGAAGAACATTAACACAGTTTTGGTTTGTTTTTTTTTTAACCTGGTTTATCTTAGTGTCCCCTGTGGTATTTCAGTGAGTTACCTTCTGGCTCCACGAAAAGCGGGCAACGACTTCAGGGGCCCCGAGCATCACAGACCCATAACCTGGGATTTTAACAATGTCCAATTTCCATTCAGATACCCTTTATGCGGGAGGGCCTTGCCCAGGCTTGCCTTGGCAAATACAGTTTTTAATGTTCTGTGTAGTATTAAGTATTTTTGAATGCAAGCAGAAAGTTTATTAGGAAGTTGTAAAATGCGTGAAACACAGATTCGGTGAAGCATAGACTTGGAGAGAAAGTGCTATATTTTTATTCTACCACCCCTAAAAATAACCTGCCAGGCACGCTTTATATTTGTTTAAAAGTACAAACGCACAGTGCAGCAGTGTTTCAAATTTGATATTGGTTAGTTGGGGAGATGTAGGAGCCCCCGCCAATTCCCTCCTCGTAGTTTATGTAACATGTCTGAAGCAGTTAAAATGGGTGAGTTTGTAGAGATGGGAGTTTTATGTCAGCTGGTGAATGGCACGTTATCCGTTATTTATGCAGAGCTCTTTCTGAGGTTCCTTTATCATCCCTCCCCTCACCTATTTCTTAACTCAATGGACTTGACCTCTGAGACTGACCTGTGCTAGATTAAAGAACCATGATTTGGAGAGAGGAGCTAGCGCTTTCTGATGAGAACAAAAAGCAGATAACGTGGAGGTTCTTTTCCTTCTTTCGGGGCAGGTAAGAACGAGTGGATTAGAGTCCGTGCTCGTCCCTACTGAAACATTGTCCATTTGCTGTCAAATTAAGGAATGTATTGGAAAATAATGTAGTACAGAATTCGGTTTAATCCTCTGTCAGTAAAGCTTTCCAGCTAATCATCATTGCCTCGCAGGGGCTTGGGATCTTGTTCTTGCGGGAGATGTTGGTAAAGAAGCTGAGGAACGTGGGGCGTTGGAATCACGATGGGGGGTGACCTCACTGGGCTTATTTCATTGTGTTAGTTTCAGGCCATTGTTGTGGGTCAGAGGGCCGCCCTCCCTATTCCACAGCCAGACTGAAAGCAAAGCTGGCACCGCCGTGTTCCTTGCAGATTCTGAAAGCCTGGTCCAGTTGACGGGATGATGTTTAACATTTCAAACTCAAAATGCCAAAAGAAAAGATTAGGTGGCAACATTTCCAAACTCTGCTTTTTAGCATCAGCTTTTGCTTAGAATTCTATTTTCTTCCTGTCCACCCACTTAAATTTGAGGTGTCCTGATTGATGTTGCTTGTAGCATTTCCCAGAAAGACACTGCTTGAGATCACAGTGGTAAACGTTCCCTTCTGCCCGTCATCAACCTGCTTACACCCATCCAAGTAACCCGGCGGGGGGAGGCTCAGTTGTCAACCTGATCCAGAAAGACTCAACCTGGAACAGGAGTAGAAGTGATTGGGGAAGTGCAAGGTCAAGGAGGATCCTTGGTCACCGATAAGAGGTCATTTCTTGGGCAGGAAACAGTTCCCGAGTGTCCTAACCGTGTGGGTAGACGCCGGAACTGTGCCCCAACCCCAGCTCTGAGGTGGGGACACTAGCTACCACCGTGGCTCTGTGAGCAGCGCTGGGGCAGCTGTCTCCCTGCATTGCTCTGCTGTAGGTAGGGCCCCAGCGCTTCCTTTCCTTGGCGCTCATTATGCGGTTGCAGTTGCTGTGTGTTGTGTGTGTTTTCCTGCCCACAAGTAGCGGCGGCGGCCGCCGCAGAGAGAGGCCTGATGGGAAGGCGGGAAGCCCCCCCCAGGTCTTTCCCTCAAGGTGACAAAGCCGGGGGTGGGAGGGGACACTGCCTCGCAGAGCCAAGCCAAGCTTACACTTGCCTTTTTATTTCTGGAAAATAGCATCAGGCGGTGAGAGAATGGAAACGCGCACCTGTCAGATCCTCCTCGGGCTGTGCCTGGCTCCCCAGGTTAAAGACAAGCACTCGAGGTCCCGTGTCAGATCCTACCACATGAAGCTAAACGCGACCTGCCTTTTGTCTGTGACGGGGGCTGTCAGCAAGCCCTTTCCCTCTTCCTCATTAGCCCCCTTCCCCGGCGGTGGAGGGCTGGGGACAGCTGGCCGTGGAGCCGCGGCTGCCGACAGGCTCCCATCATTTACCACGGTGTCCAGGAGGCTCTCTGCACTCGGTCCTAGGGCAAAGGAGCTTTTTATAGCCAGCAAGCCTCCCGCAGAGCAGATTCAGAGAATGGAACTTCGGAGTAGGGGGCACCGTCTG